TTTTTTTTTTTTTTTTTTTTTTTTGGAACTTCTCTTTGATTGATCAATGGGCCTTCCCCGTTTTTCTTTCTTTGACCTAATTTTTCCGTTTAGGATTTGAATACTTGTATGCCTAAAGTTGTTTTGGGTTGATCTTGCTTACAACGCAAGGCAAGTTTTTTGTGGTGGTTGTCGATATGTTTTAACAAGTAATTCAAATCATTTACTTTACTACGGTTAAATAATAATGTTCACCACATTGTGGTAGTTCCGAGCGATCGCTGTTTGTGTTTGGCTTTTTACATAAAACTAATTGGATTATATAAAAGCTCAGTCAGGACGCAGGTGCAAAGTGATATAAATTCAAGGCCTCCCAAATGCTTTACACCATACCAACAACTTTTGTTTGGTTGTAAATCCCTTTCCATTTTACAAACATTCAATTGGTTTACTTTTACCAAAGATGCTCCGAGCATTATTATTGTTAGTGAGGCAGCATTGATTTCCCTTGCAACCGGGGCATTTGAAATTTTATCGTGCAGGACTTGTCAGTCAAATCGATTTTTTTTTTTTTGTTCAACAACATCTATGACAATCACAATAATAGCATAAATCAAATAGGTTAGTTTTTAGTGAGAGAAGCATAAAGAACTATAAGGCCAAATGTTGGAATTGCTTACACTCGTACAAAAAATGTTGGTAGCAGGGCACCGATATGATTTATCATGGTTGAACAGCAGAAGTTTGTGTACATTTATTTTGACCAAGAAGATGTAGGCGGGGGGTGGGGGGAGAGAGGCGTATGTTGTCTGTTTGCGTTCAATTCAATAATTATGTTTGTTCTTCATCTGGTTATGATACTTTCGTGACCTCTACAGATCAAAGGTAAGTTCAGCTGCTGTGGTTGGTTGTATGATTCCACTTATGTTGGGAGTATGCTTTCTTTGTCCTTCAATGGACTGCCTTTGGCACAAGTATCACTATTGCCCCAGCTGCAAGGAAAAGGTATGACTATTTCCGGTCATCTTTCATTCTGTCAGTTGCTTCTTGTAATCTACATGTTGGTTATTTGACACTTTGCTCTGTTATAGACAATTGGAGTAATTAACTATGCTATCTATCTTTTGTTTAGGTGGGTGATTTTGAGAAATTGGATAAGTGTGCTGTGATGGATCCTTCAAACTGGACACAGCAAAGCTTTGCGTTGCCTGCTTGATTTTCACGAGCTGCTACTTTTCCACGCGGTTATTTTGCGTTGTGTGCAGTCAGTTTTTGCTCTACTCTTGTGCTCTTGTTGAGATATTCTTGTTACACTTAGGAGGGATAGGCAAAGATTGGAGATGTGTGCATATGTACACTCGTGATAGAACCAAGTACATATTTTTATCCATTCACCTTACAAGTCATTTCATACACCTTTTGTTCCTTCACCTTACAATTCCAGATTGCATACGTTTGTCCAATTAATTTCCCTTGGCTGTTCACTATCTGCATCCCCCTAGCGTCATTTGTTTTTAACTTCTCAAATTACATTTTGACCATGCATCTCCCCCTTCGGACGAATCGTTCATAGGGGCTTCTTTTCCTTCTTAATTTGGTTTTCCTGCTTGGTTTTGAGGGGACTTGAACTCTGATCCTTGATGGTACTGTCTGGTATCACACAAGTAAGCCGTGAAGAACATCTTGGAGAAGATGATATACCTGAGTTCATTGGGGTGTTGCCCAGATGCAGATGAATCTAATTGGAATGCCGCGGTTTTGAATCTGGAAGCGAAGGTCCGGCATGAGAAATAAGAGCCGGTCTCGATAGCCAAAGAGACTGCCTGCAGGGGGTATGCCATGGCAGGATGTTCACTTCAAGACGATGGCAGCTTTACAGATCCCTTTCATGGAGTTGCAGGCTGCAGGCAAGTCATCCTTGGCTACAATACATGACACTCTCCATTCCCATGTTGAACATTACTTCCTTTCTTCCCGAGTAGAAAAAGAATTAAAGCCCCCTTGTGTGCATTCCTTTTGAACCAAAAGGAGAATTTATGTATGTATGTGTGCTTGTGTGTGTGGATTGAAGTTTGGTTTTATATGTTAAAATTAGCGGCAGCTCCACAACAATATACTCTGCACTCTGCACTCTACACTCTACACTCATCGAGGTTTGTGCCTCGGAATATATTCTGTATAATTGAACTTCTAAAATTGGTGTTGGTGTTGGCCATTTCTATAGATGAAGCCCCCCCCCAACGCCTATTTTCAGAGAATCTTTTTTATGGGTCACCCTATAAGACACAACACTTCACTCTTTGTCCTCTTTTCAACCTACTGTACACTATCCAAAAATACCAAAACACAGAGCTAGAGAGCACATTATTATAAATTATACCCTACAAAACTTATTTTTATTTCAGAACATTTAATATTATTTTACAAGAAAGATCGAGTCAAGTATACAGAACAGACAGTTGGTCTCTTCATAAATTAATACATTTTTTTTGTTCAATCTTCCAGAAATCTATTAGCAGAAGTTCTTAATGATAAAATATGATTAATTACTCATTATTTCCTCACCTTAAATTTTAAAAAAATGGTTCTCGAAATTACACGTAATCTTCCAATAGGCAGTTTCCAAATTCAAGGTTCTAACCTTTGAACACATTTATTTATTCAAATGAGTAGGCCCCATGACAGATACCTAAATTAAAATCAATACAGCCTTGATTTTTCTCTTCCACGATATATATTATTCTATAAATTGGAATTTGACCATTATATACATATACATATAACTCTTATGAAGTGATTTTAGCCATTAAATCAACTCTAAATCTTTCTTTTAATTACAACCATTTGACCCTAAAAAATTTAGACCATTTCAACCGAACAAACATTTCAGCTTACTGTCCTTGTTCAATCAGTACCATAAAACTCAACCAAAAAATTATATAAAAAGAGACCCAACAAGCAACAGAAGATGAACAAAGATTTGGGTCAAAATTTACTCGAACCATGGTCAGTTTCAGAGATTTGGTTTTCTTTCTATCATTGGCTTCTTCCATTGCTGCAGTCCTCTGCAACTCAGAAGGTAAACTGAAGGCATGCCAGAGAAATTTTCGTTCACATTCTCAAATTCTACGCTCTAACTTTTTGTGTATATGGTGTTTCAATTACAAAAATTTAGAGGGACAAATTAGAAGAAAACATCTTAATTACCTTAAGGGTTTGAGCATTTTTGAATGTGTGTGGTTGAAATGACAGGGGATGCTCTTGCTGCATGGAAGGCTGAACTGGTTGATCCAAACAATGTCCTCCAAAGCTGGGACCCGTCTCTTGTAAATCCATGCACTTGGTTCCACGTCACCTGCAACATCAATAACACGGTCACCCGAGTGTAACACATTCTACTCTCTCAAACTTTAACCTCATACATAGCCTTACTCTTTTTATTACCTGTGATTTAAACACAATCTTATTTTCTGTTTGAAGGGATCTTGGCAATGCAAGTCTCTCCGGACCCCTCGTTCCCCGACTCGCAAACTTGCCACATCTTCAGTTCTTGTAAGATTTAGCTTTTCAAATGTTTATCTCTGTATAGTATAATGTTATCTACTAAGCTTGTAGCATGAATTTTGATGAAATTTTCAGGATGATTAACGACAACAATTTGAGTGGGGTAATTCCAAAGGAGATAGGTTTATTGAGCAATCTGAGGAGTTTGTTCCTGTCCAAAAACAAGTTCTCAGGGTCTTTACCACCTTCCTTGGGAAATTTGAGCTCTTTGGTTTTCTTGTAAGTGGCCAGCTGAAATGGTCATTTTTTGAGGTTCAAAAAGCAGTGATTTTTACGAAGATGTTTGCCATAAAACAACATACAATTTATATACTTTTTTATTTGGTATAGTGAAGCACACGACAACAGTTTTAGTGGAATAATTCCTGCATCTTTTGGGGCGTTGACTTCTTTGAAGAATTTGTAAGCCTTTGTGTGTTGCCACTTTGTCTTTGAAATTTAGAAGCCATATTTTGGGGCTGTGAACTTGTGTTCTACAGGAGATTGGACAACAACAATTTTAGCGGCAACATCCCCTTTACTCTTCTGCAACTTGTGAACTTTGGCAATCTTCAGCTACTGTGAGTTTGCTCATAATCAACATCTTTAACCAAGTTTTGAAACTGAAAAAATAGTTTTTAAAGTTGGTTTGTTTTATCTTTATGGTCAGGAATGTTTCACTAAACTCGTTTATGGGGAGTGTTCGCCCGACTAATTCATCAGGTAAAAGAATAAAACTAAGATCATAGCTCAATATATATATATATATCTATATGAATAAAGAGATTGAGATTTGAATTGTTGTTGGTTGTGGACAGCAGAGATGGCAGTGACTACAATAATACAAGACCCAAAAGCTCCAAACTAAAGTTGAAAAGGAGGATGAAGAAGACATGGCAGAGAAGGTTGAAATAAGATCATAGTCTTGCATGTAATAAATAATAATAATATTAATGTGTATTGGTGCTACTTTTGTGGTTAAACACTTTACTCTATAAAGTGGTAGAATATGTCATACATATCATTTCAGTCTTTGATATCAATAAATCCTTTTTCTTTTTCTTTTTCTTTTTGTTTCTGCAGCATCTCTGATGGGCAAAGGAAAATGAAGTTTCTTTGGCAGAAACCTACCTAGGATTTAATATCTTAGGTGTTTCCATAGCAACCAAATGTAGTAGGTTTTAAACCGTTCTCTAATAAAATTAATCAATATCTGCATTAAACTTCCGCAAACACTCGAGAGTATGAAAAAAAAATGTTACAAGAGTAAAAAAAAAGTCACAATTCAAATCTAACTCATACATCAATCACACCAGACTGCATAAATGCATATACAACTAGAATAATAGTCATACAGGTCAACCGTTAACAAAAGTGTTATCTAACGTTGAATTTGTGTACACAATCTTCCCATATCGATTAAAGAAAGGTTACTCGATCCATGAAGGAAAGAAGAGTGTCACAGTACATTCAACATTTTGTAGAAGCATTCATTTCTCAACCTAGCAAATGTAAACTAAAGGGTACAAAATTGGAAGGGAAATAATTTTTGTTATTCTAGGTTCTTTTTGGGGGATGGGTGAAAATTTTCCTTTTTTTTTCTTCCCCATTAATTGCTTGGGGAGATAACAAAACTCGTCGAATGATGAACCCAATGGCAATTATTTAGTTAATTACGTGCCAAATTGTCACCATGAAATGAGAACAGAATAGATGAGGAATTATTTACAACATTAGACCTGTACTTGATGATAGTTGGAAACAATTATGTTCGGCCCTGACCGTTTCCGACTGCCATCAATCGACTAGAATCTCCACATAAGGTTTCATCAATCTGCTCCTGTTGAAAATAAATCCATCAATGTTGGAAGACAAGATAGACATGCGCAGAAAACAGAATGAAAAATCCAAGAACTCCAAAACAAGCCACAAATATCTAGCTTTTCTAATGTTCTATTTCAAATTTTTACCACATAAGAGGGCGATCTTGTTGATTTATTTCGCCTTTACCCAACACAACCTAATTCTTACTACTGAATTAACTCAGCATGGTTCAAAAGTCATGAGTCCCTCTCATGGAAATTGCCTGTGACCACCTCAAAATGAAAATATTCCACCTCAAAAAACCTTCATAGCTTACTAAATGCGCTCGGATCTCCTTTTCTCTAAAGTGGTTCCAATGGATATCGTTCCTCCCCTCAGTATGTCCAATATATCCATCTCAATTGACCTTCATCTTATAGTTAGTATAAAGAGGAAAAAGAATATGAACAACGATGAAAGTAATAGAGATATTGACTTTCACGGTTGTCTCATGTAGCATTTTTTATGGTTGAAACAAATTCATAAAATTTTCAATAACTCTTGCATCCTATCATTGGAATCTTATATAAAGACAGGTCGGCTAAAGATTTGAACATAAATACCATCATTTATCAGCATAAAGCAACATGGATATTATGTACTTGTAACTAAAATATGGTAATATCGTTTATCAGTGTCACGATATGGCATTAGTAATCATAAAATTCGTTGGATCTAGTAATATATTTTGAGAATCAAATATCCAGATGCCCCGTGCATCCAAAGATGGTCATAAACTTCTAACCAATTTAAACTAAAATTAATGCCACTTCTCATATCCGTCCAAGAAATAACACAGTCAACCACCCCACGCTTCAATATAAAACCTCAAATATTAAGGTTCACCTGAATATTCACAAATAGTATAAAACCTAATTCACGAGATATCTGAAGAGATTAGGACAGTAAATTTCAGACATGGAGATTAATTGACAGGCAAGGATTCTCTTACCTTTAACTTGCAGGACCATTCTCTGAACCTGTTGATGTATGACTCCGGTTGTTAGAAAAGGTAAGTGGTGTCAAGGGAGGTGAAGATGAGTCTGGTGCCATTTCAGAAGATCGAACAGTTTCCAGAGGCTTTGGCTCGTGAAATAAGGTCTCTGTCTCCCTAGGACTCCGGGACGGAATGGAGAAACTGCGTGTGATGGTTTGAAGAGGAGGCATTGGCAATGGAGATGCTGTACTCCTTACAACAGTTTTAGTTGCAGTAGAGAGTCCTTGGCTTTTGGATACCAAAGGAGCAGAGTGGCCAACTAAACTTGAAGGTCTTGACGACTTATATGTTGAACTAATGGGAGGCCTAGGAAGCTCATGAAGCTCATTTATTTTAGGTGTGGAAATAAAAGTAGGGGAAGCAACTGGAGACACTTTTGGTGATGATGACAAAGGTTGTGGTATTGGATTTCGCAAGAGAGGTCCTGAAAACAACTGGGTTTTTTTTATTGTAACAGGCTTGTTAGTTGATGGCTTACCTATTAAAGGGCCCGAAAAGGCTAGTCTCTTAAAATTTTTAGCATCAGAAGCAGCAGCTAGACTGTGCTGTAGCAACCCATCAGACAAAGGAGGAGGTAACTGAGTGGATGATGCGTTAGTGTTACTCTCCTTCAGTACAGACTGCGCCTTTGCAGCAGCATGTCCTGACATATTTTCATCTCCCACTAACTTGTTGTACTTCCTTGGTTCCAATGGTGATGAGTGCCGCCATAAATTTTGCTGACTTATTGTCTGTGTGGTGTTAGTTACCGGATTTGCAGGACCCCCAGAAATTGAACCGTTTGTATCAGCTGGGGTGGGTAGAACATATGTGTGGAACTGCCGGGTTGATGAAAGCCGCATCTGTCTTATTCTTTCAGCAGCATCAAATTTTTTTTCGGGAAAAAGTGGGGCAGACTGGCTTACTGTTCTACCACCAAAAGAAAAGGAATTCCTACGATTTCTGTCAAGATTTTCCTGCAGGAAGCCAAAGACAAATGTAAATTTCTGAAGATGACAGACTGCATTTTCTTTGTACTTCTCAGCTGTCGATGATGTTAAATGAACAATTGGCAAAGAACTCAAGCTATGGCCAAAGTCATACAATATACCAAGACAGAAAAAGTGACGCACGCATGTACTCATACACTAACCAACAATATAAAACAAGTGATATTTACAATCAACATAATCTACAGAATGATTCTCCATGATAATAACACAAGGGAAAAAATCTAAAATTGTAGTTATTATTAATACATAATATACATGAAAGATACTGTGTGTACCTTCACAGCTTCCACATGATGAAATGCAAGATCTGACTGGTCCACCTGCATCAATGATACACATATTACACAAATAACAAATACATGAGAGCTTAAATTCAACAACTAAACCATGTATGATGCCTTTTCTCCTACCCATATATCCTGCTTTTCCAACACACTACATAAACATAAACATAAACATGATGCAGAACACATCTTTTCCAAAATGAAAAGGTTGGTAAAGATAGAACTCCATAATGTGCATACAAAAGTACTTATATCATTTAATAATTTGGAGTATTCTGGTCAACTTATGCAGCTTACATAAACCTACTAATCATTGTGATACAACTGCAGCCTTATATATATACGTATCAGGGATAAGCGACCTTAGAATATATGACATCAAGAAGTTCATAGGCCATCCAATATCCAGTATGGGTAACTACCATGGTTTTGACCCATAAACATAAATTTAGGTTTACAGCCAATCCCTTCGATCAGTGGGCCAAATCATGGAAATTACAAAAGGATTGAGCTTTTTAGATAAATCTACAAAGACCATATACAATGAGCTGTTTCCCTATGCTATGTTTCAAATGTCCCATGAAATGTACAGATGAAAGGAAAAGACTTCTCAAATGATTGGGTGGATGTTTAAAACTAAATGATTACCTTAGAATTTCTTAATGTATCTTGATCGTGATCATTTTGCCCATAATCAAAACTTAATTCCCCATCATCCCCATCATCATAGCCATCATCATCATCAACACCATCATTATTCCCATCATCCACACTGTCGTCTTCCAGTCCACTGAATCGGTAATCAATGTGCTGTTGTTCTGTCAGTGATTTGACATGTGGTTCCACTGCTTCAAGTGATTGAAGTGCCTTCTTGAAGAAACATAACTGATTTCAAGCAGAAGATGGTCAAAAACAAGAAAAAGGAAACAAAGAGGAAGATCTTAAACAGGAAAAAGAACGGGCAAAGAAATAGACAACGGAACCTGAGTAGCATGGTGACGAGCAGCCTGTGTGAGAAGACTATGAGACTGTCCTTGCTTCAAAGATTTCAACCGGAAAACAAATAGTGTTGCCTCATCATCATATTCTTCTCGAGCTGTTTGTAATTGTTGCAATGTAAAGCTCTCTCCTTTCACGGATTTTGACCTCCCCTTCTCCTTGTGCCTCAGTCTCATGTACTCATATACTTCTCTGTGAATCATACAATGAAATGGGAAAACATCGTTAAAAAGAACATTAATCCAACAACCACGTTCTTATAAGCATATGGGTTTAAGTAAGAACAGTTATTTGCAACAAACCTTTTCTCGTCGCATTGTCTTTTCATCTCCTGCATCCAAGTGAAGATCAGTATGTTAAGTGTTTCATATCAATATTCTATTCACGAGATATAATTATAAAGCCAAGTAATTTTTAACTGCACAGCGTGCTGAATGCAATTTATTCACAAACAAAATAAAGATAAATAATGTACAGGAAATTATGGTACACCCAGAGAGATATCTATATTACACTTATAATATATTCTGCATAGTTAACCCAATAATCATGTCAACATTTACACCTACACACAGAAAAGAACTGAAAAGTTACAAATGCCTAAAATGGAGGAAATTAACAACCAACCAAGAAAATGGAAAAGGGATTACTAAAAACAAGAAAATGATCGGTCAAATTTGCATGCTTTGGACTCTTGTACATGTACCAATTTGAGATAATTAGATACAGTAAACGAGGCTTTCCTTATTCTTCAAACAGTTAGGATTTCGAGTTTCCAAAACATCTATTTCAGCCTTCAGTGACTAACTATCCGTTCACTGTCCAAAACATGAAAATAAAAAGGAAGGGAAAAGTGTATCTCAGCGTTCAAGACTTTTGTCCAGATTATTCCACTATCCTGTAGATGTCATTCCAGTAAAAACATCCCACAAACAACTAAAGGGTAGAGGGATGCGGACAGCAGCTAACTACAAACCTTCACCATTTAGAAGTAGTTCTGTAGAACTTAGTAGATCTTCAACACAAATTTCATTGCTGAGAACTAGATGCCCGTACATACATGAATGGCCAAACAATGAGGATCAACGATGGAGGATCATTATATTATACAACAGTAACTCGTTACAAATTGATGCCCACAAACAAGGTAGCATGGCCAGTTGCAGATTGTGTGCAGTAATTACTATAAAAATCTGAAAGAACAGCAGCCATATACAATTAGATCAAAAAACCATCTAGACATACCTCAACAGTTCGAAGTTGATTCAGAAGAGACTCAGATGGGCGTGTTATAGTTTGTGAAATATGAGATCGCTGGCAAATTGACAGTACTGAATTTAGCACTCAAAACCCAAGAACTTTGACATTCGATACGTAGATAGATAGAATGCCAGAGAGAGAGAGAGAGAGAGAGAGAGAGAAGCCAGCTCACATATCGATCTACAAGTTTCTGGAGTTCAAACTGCACCTTTCCCAGCATTATCAGAACCTTACCTGCATGGGGGTAAGAATATACATAAACTCATATATCCCAAGTTTGAGATAATAATAACAACTAAGCCAACAACGCCTAGAAAATGTTTACACACAAAAATGCTTCAAACAGGAAGTAACTTCATGCAACTAGCACAAGTTATTTATTTATTTTTTTATCGGTAACAGAAAAATTACTGATCTGCAAAAGATTGCAATAAGCTAAGAGAGAAGCGACCACCAAATAAAAAAAAAAATAGAAGTTAAAAAATCCACCTAAAATAAAGAAAAGGAAAAGATGCACCAAATAAATAAAAAAATAGAAGTTAAAAAATCCACCTAAAATAAAGAAAAGGAAAAGATGCACCAAAATCTCAAGGCTTGAGAATATAAAGGTCTCAGCACAACTGCAAAAAGAAATATGAGAAGACATTTCCATTCATAATACTCTTTTCGGAAAATATAGTCCTGGATTCAAAAATAGATATGCCTGCGCCAAGAAATGACATTTCCTTAAGCTAAAGAATTTCAGATACACCTACGTAATTATCAGTGTATCGACATCACCCCTCATTAACACGCCTATTGTAATTAAATGCATTGAGGAAAAAAAAATTAGATTTAACGCACCACTGTCTTCATCATCATTCAGTGCAGTTTTCTCAAGAAGACATGCACCCATTTCTTGTAAAGACACTGAGAATTCTGAAAATAAGGCATAAGAACCACAATTAGATAATGAAGTAGCAGGACCAGTAATGCCAACGGTGATAGAGATATTAAATCTGGCATCCCCATAGATTTAAGAAGGCTAAAAATCAAAATTATATATCATGAAAGTGAAAGAGTCGTGCAGCGTTATGCATTAAAAGAAATAAATTTGACATTCATACATAGAGCCAAAGCAGGTGAATAAAACAGCAAGATGTGTTCAAATATTATTAAGAAAATCCACCGGGAAAAGAGTTGGAACAAAACAAGTAAATCCATCAAACCAGTTTCCTCGAGAATTGAAAAATAACCACCACAAATAATTACTCAACAGTGCAGCAACATTGACTAAAACAGCCATAGAGTTCACGTCACTGAGTATTGTGCATTAGAGCATCCTATTTATGATTCAATTATCTTGGTGATTCTTTTTTATTATTATTATTATTCATTCCTTCGCAATTGCATATATACTGATAAAAAGCTGATCATTAAATGAAACTACAATCAAATAAGGCCATTACAAATGAAACATTCATGTCATGTGGCATTTTGTTTGCAGAGAAAATGTAAGCGAAAAATGTAAATGAAGTAAAACATCATAACACTGTCCTGAGCCAAGCAGCTGGGACGAGATATGAAAGAGAGTTAACAGAAACTCAATGAGTTGGAACATTGGTTGATCTAAAAATTACCGTAAGCACTATTTTCGGTAGCGGCAGCTGCAGAAAGTAAGCTATCATAACAGTCTCTCATTTCTTCCATGTCCTGAAAGCACAATACCACACTAACCAGTAAGAATTTGATTGTGTTTCTAAACACCTAAACAATCCTGAAACACTTGTACGAAAAAGGAAAGGAAGAGAGAGGCAGGACAGAAAAAGAAAAGGAAGGAAAAGAGAATACAATCTCTTCCCGCCAGAGCCAAAACCCTAAAATTCCCCTTTCCATTCTTCCTCGTGCTTCTAATAAATCTCAATTAATAGCCAGAAACAAAATCCCACTATTAAGGATAAGTTCATCAGCTAAAAAACTTCACAAGACTGAGAAGACTACTGAAAAACAAAACTAAAATCTCAGGATGAAATTGAAGAAAACTGGAAGAACCCTCGTACAGAATTCGCAATTCCCGAAGAAGGCAAAGAGAGAGAGCAAAAGGGTAGAAGCAAAAAAATAAATAAAATACCCGAGCAGCCTGAGCAAGCTCATCCAATTGAGCCAAAGGACGAGGATCTACACGGCCCTTAGGTTCGTGCTTGTGCAGTCCAAAACCCGTCAACTTCCTCAAAGAAGTCTTCATTTTGCTGCTCCTTTCTGGTGTATCCCTTCACGAAATCGGAGAAGGGAAAGAAATCGGAGCAATTCGGGAAGTCTAAGAGGGGAAAAGCAAATAAAGATGCAGAGAGGAGGAGGAGGAGGAGGAGGAGGAGGAGGAGGAGATGGGCAAGATGAAGAAAGCCCTCAATCTCAATGCAAATTTTTTCTTCGTTCAAACTCCTCCATTCTCAGCTTGCGTCAGGCAGAAATGGAAGACCCAAAAATCAATTAATAATATTCATTAATTCCCATTTCGATCCAAAGAAAAAAAAAACTCAAACCCCGTCGTTCTTCTTCTCCTATATTGACTTCAAATTTATTTATTTTAATAATTTAAAAAAAAAAAAAAAAAAAAAAAAGTGTGCAGAATTAGTGGAATTGATCATTCCAGTTTGACTGTGTTTTCATTGTTCGGGAGGATACAATTATTCATTTTTATTTAATCCTATTATTATTATTGTAATCTTCCAATCATATTTTAATCATTATTAATTCCTTTTCTTTGCGTTCCACAATCAATGGTCATTTTCCATTCCATCTTTAGTTAATAATTTATATAATTTGTTTCTAATATTTTGTTTTTCTTTCAAGATCCTGACTAAATTCTTGGTGGATATAATTTTTTAATATGCTGACAACACAACACATAAAAAAGAAATAAAATGCATTGAACTAAAAGAGTAAGCATGAAAAAAGTAGTGAATGTTCCATATATTATTATTGAATTGAAATTTAAAAATAGATATTGAATTTAGTGGCGGAAGAAAGTGGAAGCAGCCATCCATAAATGTCACAGAGAAACAAATGAGAGTTGTAATTTAATTTTTGTTGATGATATAACAATAAATATGTGGGGGGAAATTGGAATAATGAAAGAAAAGGGGAAAATGATGATTCAATGTGAGAGTTAATGAAGGGAGGGGGAGCCGAATTTCCCTGACATTGCAATTCATTACGATTAATAATCGTGTTTACTTTCGAGTTATTTCCAAAAATGTAAAAACCAAACTTCAAAACAATTGAGGCCACCTTTTCTTCCCCCCCCCCCCCCNCCCCCCCCCCCCCCCCCCTTCTTACGTACAAAAGTTGTAATAAATGCAATTAAGAAGTGGGTGCTGTTTTACTAATATTTTAGCACAATTTAGGAATTCAATAATTTAGGAATTCTCTTACTTCAATTTTAGTTATTTAATTTTCAAGGTACCGCACATGAGATCTAATCCACATGCATTTAAAAACCTAGTTTAGAATGGAGACAAATCATTTGTTTTTAATTCAATTTACTTACTACTTTATTCCAGTTTTCTATTTGAACACCAATAATAAAAATAAAGGGACAAATTCTCATTTTTTAACGAAATAAAAAATGAAAAGCTGTTTTCAAACGTAGAATTTACCAAGAAATTGTCAATAAATTGCTTGTTTTATTTTTAATGCTCAAATGAGAAACTTTTCAAAAAGAAAAACTTGGTTGGCCGAATAAAGAAAATGATAAATAATGATATGTTTTTCCAAATGTTCAATATAAAAAAGGTCAACAGCTTGAAAATTATAATTAAGGTCAACAGCCGATCAAACCTTCTATACCACGTTGTCGGCCTCGAAACAACATCGCTTCCTTCTTTCTTTTCCTTTTGATTTTTAAAGTCTTCCATTTTTTAAGTTCATTGCCTTACCCGAAAATTCATATGGGAAGAGATATACATTTTTTATATTCAAAACCAATCCCACTTTTATTTGGAAATTCGTTAAGAAAATTCAATTATTTGTCAAGAAGACATAATGTCAACTATATAAATCTACTTCTCCCTTACATTAACCATCTTCAATTTGAAGAAAAATGTTATTCGAATGTTTTAATTCACATTAAAACACCAGCTTCATTTGATAACCTGTACATTTCTGTAAAGTGCATTAAGAACGCGGAGACAGGCAGTATGAACTATTAAAGAAGTAACAAGAAAGGATTCTACCAGAGAATTAACTTCCTCATTACCGCTGGAAGCTCTTAATTTATACCAGAGTAGAAAGAGAAACAGAGTTTTTCAAATTCCTACTACTATTAGGAATGTTTCTTTTAGTTTAGAAACGAGAAACTATCACATACGTTTCTCCAAAAAAAATAAAAATAAGCAAGAACCTAATCAAACGACCTTGAAATATCATTATTCGGAACTAAAATGAAACTAAATCATGTTTCCTCAAAGGAACAAACACGTCCATGTTTCCCCCACTTTCTAAAATAGCATTTGAACAGCACAAAGATTCACAAACAGACAATTCATACCAACCCAACCAACATAGAAACCATGTGAAAATGATTAAAATGGTGAATGAATTTATTAGAATATACGTATATATTCTAGCCAGTAGGTCCTTTGGTTTTGACATTAAGGAAAGATTCAAACTTACAAGGGGCAAAGCAGAAGAAGCATCTGACTAGAAAATAGAGTTGAAAAAAATGAAATTCCCGTCCTTGACAATATTCTCCCAAGTTATTTAACAACTTGGCTACGTCCCCAGACCAAACATCGTCACAGAAACAATGTAAAGTTGCCTTGTGTCACAACCATACTATGAATAGAGTAGATTACAACGACGGTGACACCCTGCATCTGCTAAGCCAGATATGATTTTACAAGTGTCAAATATGAATTAAAAGCCAAATCCTTCCACGGACCACCAATTTTCATCCTATAGCAGTGATGATTTTGGCAAGAAAAGATGTTTCTTTTCACAAAAATATCTCGTACTTTGATTGGACTTGCCCGTTAAAAAAATGGTTGTAATTGTCTTGACTATAAAAGCCATCGAGAGGTTTATTGTACAAGGGAAAAGTGAAATTTCTCCTTGATTCAGGGAACAGGAACAGAAAATGACAAAGAAGTCATTGAATCTTACCCTAAGATGGAAAAACTTTCCAGATTGGAAGGGCAAAATCAACCAGTTGCGGCCAAACGTACGGCTCTGTAGCATGCTCTTTTTGCTGCTCGAACAATGTCCTCAATCTATACAATTATTACCATCAAGCAATGAAAACCAACGATCAGGAGTGGAGCAAATAAGAATGGGGCAATTGCCTCCTTCAGTTCATAAATAGATTCAACAAATCATATAACATAGCTATAATTTTTAAATCTTGGCTCTAAGTTACCCCTAGTTTGTAGAACTAAAAAGATTATGTATATAAATCATTGAAAAGAGTAAAATTTCATGAGAACATGTTGAAAAGATATTGACCAGAGAAGGGTTTCGCTGTTGTTACTTTGATTAGGACTAAATGTTACAGTTTTTATGATCTATGCCACCACGTCAAATGAACTTTTGATGAATGCTACTAGATCAGCGACATATATCTCATCATATAATTTCTTTCTTCTTTCTTTCTTCATTCTTTCTCAATTTGAAAGTACAGTAAACTTTTCAGGGTGGATATAAGGCTTTTAGAAAAGGTAGGGCAATGAACCTGAGGGACAGCCATCCTTTCGAGATTGGCTGCATAAGGCATAGGAATGTCAGCCCCTGAAATCCTCTCCACTGGCGCATCAAGATAGCCAAAACTGTCCTCCACAACAGATGCACTGCCGACATAAAAATAAATATTCACATTAAGTTAATAGGGAAACTTCAAAATCAATCAAGAAGATGAACGAACATGAGAAGAGGGGAAAAATGACAAACCAAATCTCAGCACCAACGCCATGCTGAGGGAACCCTTCTTCAACTGTTACTAATCTGTTGGTCTTCCTAACTGAAGCATTAATTGTGGCTCTGTCTAGCGGTCGAATAGAGCGCAGGTTTATAACCTATAACAACATAGGCTGTTAGGAATCACGACTCTCCACAATGGTATGATATTGTCCACTTTGAGCATAAGCTCTCATGGCTTTGCTTTGGGCTTCCCCAAAAGGCCTCATCCCAATGAAGATAGTATTCCTCACTTATAAACCCATGATCTTCCACTAAATTAACCAATGTGGGACACTCCCAATCCCAATAATCCTCAACAATCCTCCCCTCGAACAAAGCACACTATAAGCCTCCCCTGAGGCTTATGGAGCTCTCGAATAGCCTCCCCTTAATTGAGGCTCGACTCCTTCTCTGGAGCCCTCGAACAAAGTACACCATTTGTTCGACACTTTAGTCACTTTTTGACTACACCTTCGAGGCTCGCCATTCTTTGTTCGATATTTGAGGATTCTATTGGCATGGTTAGGTTTAGGGCATGGCTCTGATACCATGTTAGGAATCACGACTCTCCACAATGGTATGATATTGTCCACTTTGAGCATAAGCTCTCATGGCTTTGCTTTGGGCTTCCCCAAAAGGCCTCATACCAATGAAGATAGTATTCCTCACTTATAAACCCATGATCTTCCACTAAATTAACCAATGTGGGACACTCCCAATCCCAATAATCCTCAACATAGGCTAATTACACTTTTGACAAAACAAAATCAATCTACATACATCCAAAAGAAAAAGTCAATCATCAGGCAAAAATTACCTCAGCACTAATTCCTTCTTTGGAAAGTTCTTCAGCCGCCTGACAATCCAAGCATTACAATTAATCATAGACAGAGAGATGAGGGAATTTTCCAGCATCCAAGTATCTTAAAGCCACTAAACATGTGAATCAAAATATAATATGACACACCCACACCCAGTAAAATCTCTTTCAACTGCCCATCACTACAACCTAAAAGTTGCCAGTAAAACAATATAGCATCTTAGGGTACGATCTTCAGATCCATCTCAATTGGTGGAACGTCATTAATGCAAAGTTATCACTGTTTACATGAAGTACATAAGGAATCTTTTGGAACCCGAGTAGACTTTCCTTGAAATCTAACATGATGCATGAGAAAAATCCCAGCAGATCTGTGAGATAACTGCTATTTCCATTTCTTATAATCAAAATGTCACAACTAAAAGAATCGCTTCTCAACAGCAGGTTTAGGGATACATATTCAAGAAAGTCTTTAAATCCCATTTAGCCATGAAAGAACTAATCTTGCCCCTTACAGGTCAACCTAGTCCTTGACATAGCCAGTTAAGTTTACAAATTAAAAATAAACAACCAATCCCCCATGAACAAAATAACTGAAGGATACTGACCTTAAGTGCATAGCCCACCATCTTCGAAAAGGCAGTAATAGTCACATCCTTCCCTTCTCTCTCAATCTATCAAAAATGAATGATATAAAGTTGAACATCGAAGATGAATAGCAGAACAGAAAACAT